TGGAGGGTGAGTGAGCACTTTTCACTGAGTTTAAAATTAATGCAGGAGGGCTTGAGCAATAGTACAGTGGGTAGGGTGTTTACCTTGCACACAACCCACCTGGGTTTGATCCCAGCATCCCATATGGTCCCGGCGTACCGCCTGGGGTAATTCCTGAGTGAAGAGCCAGGAGTAACCCCTGAACATCACCAGCTATGACCCAAAAGTCCATTGCTAGGACTTTAGGATGACCGTAGGATGGTATTTTGACCTTTAGTTTTACTAAAAACTTCTTTCCTACTTTTTTCTGATTGATTTTTCCCTCCCAGGAAGTCATTATTTACATCCCAAAGGAATGTGGTCTTCATGCCTTTGGGCTGTTTCAGGGTTGAAGGTCCTGGTAACTTCTTTTAATCACTTTTAGATTACTGAAGGAAAAACTCACTTTACTAATGAGGGCCCCATCTATCTGCTACAAGAACGTGTTTTAAGGTGACAAATTCTGCTCCTGGGTAAATATCTTTCTTCTCATATATCTCAGAAAAACTGGAGCAGGGATACTTGTCCTAGGCCAAACCTAAAGCTGATGAGATATATGTGTGTGCACACAGGTTTCTAGGGAATACACCCAGCTTTTCAACACAACTGCTAAAGCCACAACAAAAAGAACCAAAATGGAGTCCTTCATGCCAAGCTCTGCCTAAAGTAACTGAAGTTCCAACTTCTCCCCCAAAGGCAACACTAAACCAACTGAAGGATGTTCAGTGCCAACACTCCCAAAGCCTAGCATTTTGGGCTAATTAAATGCAGATCAGTTCATGCTAAGGCCAATGGAGCAGATTGGCTCCCTTAATTAGCAGAGTGAAAATTGGGGGTGTTTATTAACAGCATATTGGGGTCGTGAACCGAACTAACCTTTCTATCAGGGTTACTTCGGCAGTAAAAACAGAACACCTGGTGCTGGTCATAAATTACCCTGCCCTGTCCTTGTCCTGTTCCCTTCTGGGAGGCCGATCCCCTGTCCAATCCCTTAGGATATACCCCTTCCCCAATTTGGCTTTAGTCTACATTTTACTTAAATTATTTAATATAACGCATCTACGCTTACTAGATAGTTGATTTGACTGCTGGCCTGAGGAGGGGTGTGGGGGCAGTCCCCCAGGTCACCGTTGGGCGGTCATCTGCAGGAGAAACGGCCCTATCCGCGCCCCCCAACCCCCTAAAACCTTCATTGTCCCGCCACTCTCCTTCCCGACCATCAAAAGCCTCCGTTTTGCACAACGCCTAGTGCATCTCCTAGAACAGCGCCTCCCGTCACCCCCCAAGTCTCTCCCGCCTCCCCAGCATGCCGGGGGCATTCAACTCGGGGACCCCGGGATCCCCCTGGCTCCGCCGCGGCGCCAGGAAAGCCGAAACCCGAAGCTGCGAGGGCGCGCGTCGGCCGGGAGGGGGCGCTGGGCCCGCCCGCGTCCGGCAGTTTGCAGCATCGTCGTGTCGCGCCCGGCCGGAGGGGCAAGGAAGAAGGGAGCGGGCGCGCGCGAGGGCGGGTCGGGAAGAGGGGAACTGGGAAGCGCCATCTAGGGAGGGGCAAAGTCGGGCCCAGCACGCTAGCAGGTAGGAAGAAACTTCAAGGGTTTCTAACATTCTTCCACTATCGAAGCATTGGTGGTTCAGTGGTAGAATTCTCGCCTGCCACGCGGGAGGCCCGGGTTCGATTCCCGGCCAATGCAACGCTGAAGCTTTTCTTTTTTTTTTTTTCCTCAAAATTAACTTCAAACCTCGAACTTCAGAAAATGCCCTTTTTGAACTCGGATCTTTTTTTTTAAATTCCAATTTTGCCTCACTCAAACATTCGTGCCTCTAATCAAGTTGCTATTGCTGTGTGAGAGCGGCAGTAGGGCGACGGACTGTTTTCCTGCCAGAAGCACTGTGATTTGGGACTCAGGCGATTTGGAGGTGAAATACCGATTGATTAGTTCTGTGGTTTAGAGCAGGAATAATATCAGCGGCAGGCTTTGAAAAGGAAAATAAAACTATTTCAAAGGACTTGCGACCTTTCAAAGACGATCTCTCAAAGGAGCTACTTAAACCCCCGATGGCGGAAGTCAGCAGAGTGGCGCAGCGGAAGCGTGCTGGGCCCATAACCCAGAGGTCGATGGATCGAAACCATCCTCTGCTAGCTGTTAGTTTTTTTCCAAAATCTGGAGAACCAAAATTTTCCAAAGTCTGGAGACCTGAAACTTAATCTTTTTAAGAGACCAAGACTGTATTTAATCAATGACGGCAGAGGTGAAAATATCACACCAGGGAAATTTAAAAAATAAGTATTTCACAACCAGGTATCTATCCGCATTTTGGAAGGGAGTTACAATGTGGAAGGAAGTGGTCCCTCCGGAGGAGGGGGGGGGGTGCTGAAGGGTGGGAAAGTGTTGTACGTGAAATCATATCAGTAACAGGACTGTAAAACACAGAGTCTGAATTTATACACACACACACACACACACACACACACACAAAATGCCTGTCATAAAGACAGACTGGTGGGTGGGAGGGAAATTGGGGACACTGGTGGAGGAAAGTTGACACTGGTGAAGGGACTGGTGATGGAATGTTGCATGCCTGAAACCCACTCATGAAAAATTGTAATGCACGATGACTAAGAAACTCTGCACAATGTCGTGTATAGAGCATTTATTTTTATCAGTATTATCTCCCATGTAGGATAAATACTCACGTGGAAAGATTTTTATACTTTTTGTCTGGTTACTGTAGTATCTGGAACACGGTTTGACACCTCTTAGACCCGGGTTGTGTAGACACTGGTGATAGGTGCTGGCTGTCTTCCCTCCACTCACACCTCTTCCTCCGCCTTCCTCTTCCTCTTTGTCTCTCCGGACCCTCCACCCCCTCCCCTCCGATTAGTGTCTTGGATAAACTTAGTTAAATCTTGCCTTAAAGGGAGACAAATTTTTCTACCCAAACTTACCCACTTAGTAGAGAGTTGAAACAACTTGTGAAGTGCCAGGGAACTGCGCTTCTGCCTTTCTGCCACGAGATGGCAGACGAGGGCAGCAGTTCTCGTCCGCACCCGCCGAGGGCACTTAGCCTCGGCTCATCTGAGCTGCAAATTTCTCTAACCGCAAGAAGAAAGGGAAGGGGCTCGGAAGCCACCAGCAAATTCAAAGTACAGGATGCAGTGAAAGGAAGGCTCTCTATCCCTCGGGTATCTTGTGGGCCGGAGGAACCGGGCAATTGAAAACCTCATTTTAGAGATGTGACCGATAGACCTGCACATTTTACATAAATTTTCAGTGACATCGTGGCTGACCGTAGATGTGACGGGGACTTATCCACACCCACTTATTCACACCGGGAGTATGTTTGCGTATTGTAAAAACAATTAAAAACAATATACGGACCAGGGAAAGACTTTTTGGCAGAAGACGCCAAAGGAGCTAACAACGCTTTAGAAACTCTGCAGAAAGACGCAGGAGAGGAAACGGAAGGACTTTCCCATCACGCCCCCTGTTTCTGGCTCCTACCTAGCCCGCGCTTTTATTTAACGTTCCCACTTCATCCACCATCTCTGTGGCCTCTCTGGGGTCCATTTCTCCTTGAAAACGACTTTCTAACTTCTGTCCAAGTTTCCTAACCCTGGGCTCAAACCTCAAGGTTAAAAGCTCTCTCCTGCCTGGCGAGTACTTGCATATTTCCCTCCAAACATCCTGGCGATTAAACACTGGCTTTCCCAACTAGCTGAGCTCAAAATTTTAAGGATAACTCCTTAATTAGCTTCCCACAGTTTGCATGTTCCTCTGGTTTAGCACTCCCGCCGCTCAGCTCGTCTCCGTAGGGCAGTGCCTAACTGAATGAACTTCTTCCAGGATCCCCAAAAAAAAAACACAGAACCCTGAATTTACAAGTGGCTCCAGAGGCCGGTGCTGTGTGGCATTGTTAAAATTACTCACCTTTTGCCTTGTTTTTTTCAGCGGGAAACTTTCAAAAGAAGCAAGCGGACTCGAATCTGGCAAACCGCGTTTAAAGGCGGGCTTTTCAAAAATTGCCGCTAACCAATTAGAAGCGGCCGGGAGGGACGGGCTCGTTTCAGTAAAGTGAAACCAAAAACAAAGTGAACTAAAAAGTATATGTACTTAGGTACTTCTAAGTTACATCGCAGACAAAACTAATTACCCAAGTAATGCACGATGTGCACTTACTGTCTTGTGCATCCCCTGACCTTAAAGGCAGCCGATTATAAAACTCGTGCCAGCTATTTTACTGCAACTGTGAGTGGCTCTGAAAAGAGCCTTTGGTTTGTGATGTGAAGACGCTTACTTGTAGTTTACTTGGAGCTGGTGTACTTGGTGACGGCCTTGGTGCCCTCGGACACGGCGTGCTTGGCCAGCTCCCCGGGCAGCAGCAGGCGCACGGCCGTCTGGATCTCCCGCGACGTGATGGTCGAGCGCTTGTTGTAGTGCGCCAGGCGGGACGCCTCGCCGGCGATGCGCTCGAAGATGTCGTTGACGAACGAGTTCATGATGCCCATGGCCTTGGACGAGATGCCCGTGTCGGGGTGCACCTGCTTCAGCACCTTGTACACGTACACCGAGTAGCTCTCCTTGCGGCTGCGCTTGCGCTTCTTGCCGTCCTTCTTCTGCGCCTTGGTCACGGCCTTCTTGGAGCCCTTCTTGGGGGCAGGAGCGGACTTGGCGGGTTCAGGCATGGTGCAGAAAACCTGAATGGGATCAGGAAAACGAAGTGACGATAAGCCAGGCTCGCCCCTTATATGCAAAACTTTTATGTAAATGAAGTCTCGTAATACGTGCATGTGATTGGAGGCCGCTTGAATGACGTTGCGTCAATATTGGCCAATCAGAAAAAGCGTAAGAAGCCCTTCAGCTTAAAACGGAACTGCGAGTTTAGCCAATGACTCAGCTCCTTTTTCGCGCCTTGCTGCAACTATAAAGGGTGCGGTTTGCAACTCAGGCTTCAATTGCATCTGCATCTCATCGTACCACACCATGTCTGGACGCGGCAAGCAGGGTGGCAAGGCTCGCGCTAAGGCCAAGACCCGCTCTTCCCGAGCCGGCCTGCAGTTCCCCGTGGGCCGCGTGCACCGGCTGCTCCGCAAGGGCAACTACTCGGAGCGGGTGGGCGCCGGCGCCCCGGTCTACCTGGCGGCCGTGCTCGAGTACCTGACGGCCGAGATCCTGGAGCTGGCGGGCAACGCGGCCCGCGACAACAAGAAGACGCGCATCATCCCGCGCCACCTGCAGCTGGCCATCCGCAACGATGAGGAGCTCAACAAGCTGCTGGGCAAAGTCACCATCGCGCAGGGTGGCGTCCTGCCCAACATCCAGGCCGTGCTGCTGCCCAAGAAGACCGAGAGCCACCACAAGGCCAAGGGCAAGTAAAGACTGAAGCCGAAGCCCTACTTACACCAAAGGCTCTTTTCAGAGCCACCCACAATTTCGGCAAGAGATCTGAACACTCTGAAGTTCTAGGGATAAGTAGCCCATTAAGTTTTAGGTATAAAAATGAATTTATTCCATCTCCCATTTAGTTTAATTCATCCAACAAAACTTTAGTAGTTTCATGAAAGCACTCATCTGTCCCTCGCAGCACCCCACTTTGCCACTGAAACAAGCTTCATAAAATGTACATTTAAAAAAGTACTGAAAATGCCATTGTTTGCAGAGCCTGGAGTCCCATGAACTGAAACCGGGAAAATCAGCTACTTTGTGGGGACTATAATTGACCAATGAAAATCCATTATAATGGTGATAATCTCGCGATTTACATATTACGGTCCTAGTAGCTGATGCAAACAAAGCTTTATCCTACAGTGACCAAAATAGCTTTGGCCTTTAACTATCGCCTCCAGCGAACCAGTGCGCTAGTTTATTTAAATTGCTCTATGTGTTGGTACAACTATTAAAAAAGCCTAAGGCAATGCAATTGTGAAGCAACTTTTTTGGAGACAAAATGAATATATTTTGCTGTAGTTTCCCCTTGCTTCACCTAGAAAGAGAAAAATGCGAAAGAAAAATGCACTTATTATCAATTTGGGCGCAGGCTTAGACCGAGTCCAGGTTAGATCCTAGTTTCACGTACACGCTTTATTTGAAAACAGTCAGCTCACAGGGCGTATGGCCACAAGTTCTTGTAAAAACAGACGAGAAGAAGCACAGGAAAAGGAAAGCGGTGTCTGAGATGAAAAGAGCGCCGCTTGAAGGAAAGACCAATCAGATTACTCCTGCGACACAGTTCTGACCAATCAGGATCGGATGGTGAGTATAAAGCCGGGTTCAGGCGCCAACTCCAAACGCTTGTTCCAGAAGCGCAGAAGAGGTTGCTATGGCCCGCACCAAGCAGACGGCGCGCAAGTCGACCGGCGGGAAGGCGCCCCGCAAGCAGCTGGCCACCAAGGCGGCCCGCAAGAGCGCGCCGGCCACGGGCGGCGTCAAGAAGCCGCACCGCTACCGGCCCGGCACCGTGGCGCTGCGCGAGATCCGCCGCTACCAGAAGTCCACCGAGCTGCTCATCCGCAAGCTGCCGTTCCAGCGGCTGGTGCGCGAGATCGCGCAGGACTTCAAGACCGACCTGCGCTTCCAGAGCTCGGCCGTCATGGCGCTGCAGGAGGCCTGCGAGGCCTACCTGGTGGGGCTCTTCGAGGACACCAACCTCTGCGCCATCCACGCCAAGCGCGTCACCATCATGCCCAAGGACATCCAGCTGGCCCGCCGCATCCGCGGGGAGCGGGCGTAGATTCTTCCCCGACATCCCCTAACCACCCAAAGGCTCTTTTCAGAGCCACCTTCATTTTCATTTTGAAGACTGTTAACACTAGACTCATTATTACGCAAATTTGGGGCAGAGCCGAGGCATGTGGGTAAAAGAATTGGGTCTATTTTGCCCTTAGCACAAGTAACATCTCCGGTTTAAAAACCCGCGCTTGGTGGTTGGAGCGGTAGCACAGTGGTTAGGGCTTTTATTGAACACGGCAGACCCGGGTTCGATTCCCAGCCTTCCCGAAGCACGGCTAGGAGTAATCCCTGGTGAGACCCAAAAAGCAAAATAAATATACAATTGTACAATTGTTAAAAATAAAGGTTGGACGCTTTGTTCTTGATCTTACTCATAATCATAGCCTGTATGGAACCTCGCGGACTGATCAGGCTGGGCCGGGCAATTTCAGTTCATTGAATTTTTTTTCCTTTTTGGGTCACACTCTGCGATGCTCAGGTGTTACTCCTGACAGTCCTCGGGAAGCCATATATGGGGTGCTGAGAATTTAACCCAGGTCAGCGGCATTCAAGGCAAACGCCCTACCCGCTGTGCTATCGCTCCAGCCCGCCTTTGAACATTGTATTAATTTTCTCTCTCTCTCTCTCTCTCTCTCTCTCTCTCTCTCTCTCTCTCTCTCTCTCTCTCTCTCTCTCTCTCTCCTTTCCCCCTCTCTGCCTCCTTCCCCTGTACTATGTCAGTCTGACCAGCGGACTTGGCCTGCTGTTTTGCTTCTAGTAAAAACTTATACCACCTCACATCCCACCCCACCTCACAGCTGGGTCCATCCAGCAGTTTGATCACCTCCAGCAAGTCCCTGGAGGAGAAAAACCTCTTTCTCTTGCCCAAACAGGACTCTGACATCGTTGATTTTGTTTGTTTGTTTAGGGGCCACTCCCTGCTGTACTCAGGATTTACTCCCAACTAGGATTATCAGATTACCGTTAATTCTTCCCCACCCCTCCCAGGCTGTCCCTTAAGGACCGGATTTGAATTAGGCCCATTCAAACCTAACAACACAATGAATTTGCCAGTCCGGATGTTGAGAACCACTAGGAGGAGGGGCTTGAGCCATAGTACAGCGGGTTGGGCGTTTTCCTTTCACATGGCTAACCCAGGTTGGATGCCTAGCACGTCGATGGACTCCTGATACTAAATCGAGAACACTGTCAGGTGTGGCCCAAAAACCAAAAGCAGAAAAGAGCTCTGAGGTGGCATTGTATATATTAACCAAAATTCTTTTACTTGTTAAAGTTATTGCTCTAATTCTTAAAAACATCACTTAAATAAGGACAAAAACATCCTTGTAAGTAACCAAAAAGTTTAAAAAAAAAAAACAGAATCCATATGCGATTTGGTCTTGAGTAATCAGAAGCTGCAGTCTCGATGCTGACTAAGGGACTGACAGCAAATATCGTGCCCAAAAGAGTGGGATAAAGTGTCCCAGACCCCAAGCAGCGTAAAGGGCCATTTGTTCCCAGGTGAACTAAATCTATCTAATTCTCTCTCTGATGAAATTGTTCCTTTCCCCGGCACCCATTCTGGCCGCATCGCGCTCTCCCTTTGGACAGATGGATGTAATGGTATCTCATTTTCCTCATAAATCCATAGGATGTGGGGAAGTTGCTTTGATTTTGATGTAAACATAAGTGATAATTGCAGCTAATCGTGCATGATGTAATTGACACTGTGGACTGTAGTTTTGGAGTCTGAAGCAGCCTCAGTTTTTGAACCATTTGTCGAGTGGGGTAGAGTGCCACGACCGTCACAATCCCTGCACCCACCGCAACGAGCGATGAGATGAACTCCTGTCCTGCTTCCCTCTGCGTCTCTGCTACCGTGTCACTGAACTTGGACGTGACACCAGCACCATCGAGGGGGAGGCCGTCCTCGTCAGCCCACCCCCCCCCAAATACACACACCATTCTCTCTTGCAGGGAGACTGAAGGAAACAAGAGCGCCCATCCTTGCAAGGAGACTGGCTGGTGCCCATCATCCTTGTTCCCTGTGGCACGGGTGTCATCTTAGTTGTGTGCCCAGGAAGCTGTGGCTGGCAGCTGAGGTTGGAGATTGCAGCAGGCACCACCACACTGGGCAACTTTGATCCCATCACCGAGATCTACAGGGATCTCAACAGGCCAAAGAACCCTAATTGGGGTGATATCCCAAAAGTTAAAGATTAAGAAAGTGGTGGAATTTCTCCCAAGCTTGCAATAATTTGAAATAATCTGCATGCATGCTGAAGTGACAAATCTGGACATCTGGACATCCTTAAGAACATGAAATAAAAGTAAAGCAGTGAGCTTACTCCCCTCCCTTTCTTCCCCACAGAAACTTTAGAACTTTCACTCCTCCACTTCTACCTTTCCCCTGATGGTAAAAAAAAAAAAAAAAAAAAAAAAAATCCTATAAAAATATATTTAAGAGACTGGCAAAATATTAGAGTGGGCAGAGAGCCTGACTTCCAAACAGCCTACATAAGTTCAAATCCATGCTCCCCCTATGGTGCTCCAAGCCCACCAGGAGTGATCCCTGTGTACAGAGAAATAAATTCTTAGCACCACCTCTTGTGCTCCCTCAAAAAAAAAAAAAGGAAAGAAAGAAAGAAAGAAAGAAAGAAAGAAAGAAAGACCACGATGTAGTTAAGCAATGAAATAGGGTTCCAACCATGAACTAGAAAAAGAGAGAAAATAGATGTTTGGTTCCTGATGGTATCCCATAGACCACTGAGGGCAATGTTGCAGAGGGGACTGATAGATTTGGGAACCCAGTCTGGCACAGACGAAGGGACAGAGATGAATAAAGTGAAGGAAATAAGAGAAGATTATTGGGGTGTACTCTCAGGTGGAAAGCGATGAACCTCTGGTGAGTCTGGGGTAGAGTCACGCCCTGGAAGAGACTGAGGGGGCTTTTAAGTTGTCTTGGGCAGGAAAAGGGGAGAAGGGAACAAAGACCAGAGGAACCGGTGTGCTGGGTCTGGCCTGTTGTCTGTAGGGGGTGGACGTGAGGAATGTGGAATGCATCCTGGTGGCTTCCTGTCCGGGTGGGCCCTGAGTCCTGTCTTCTGCGCTGGAGGCAGGGCGATCCCTGATTCTGGGAATGTCGCTATTACATACACCGGTTGCCATTCAGTCCCCAGCAAACCTTACAGGGACCTTATCTTGAATGTTAGAAAAAAAAAAATCTGTGTACCCCAATGACTTCACCAAATCAATAATAGGGCAGGCTGCCAGCCCATTCCCCTTTTCTGCTTTTGCTGTTTCCTTCCGGTGCCAGCCTTTCACAAACTCTGAGCCCAGCCTGAGACTAAAATGGTTTGGAGACAAGCCCATCAGTTTCTCAGGCTGCTGGCACCTGAATAAATGTTTCTGTGGGTTTTTTTGTTTTGTTTTGTTGTTTTGCATTTTGGGTCATACCCGGTGATGCACAGGGATCACTCCTGGTCCGCACTCAGGAATTACTCCTGGCGGTGCTCAGGGGACCATATGGGATGCTGGGAATCAAACCCAGGTTGGCCGCGTGCGAGACAAACGCCCTACCCACTGTGCTATCGCTCCAGACCCAAATGTATTTTTCTTACATCAACCATTTCTTCTGAAGTACTGGCTGGCCTTCGTCTGATGAGCAA